TGGTTAAGTCGGTGGAGAACTTTCAGAGGGAAATTAACAGGAGATAACTGATATCCATTAAACATGGCACATGGAACTAGAACAGTCCAACCCAGTGAGTGAAATAAAGGGTTCAGTTCGACATTCCAACCACCTGAAGAAGGCTGGAGTGTACAACGGTCGAAATGTTACAATAAATATGGCGACAAAGATGAGGACAATAGTCCGAATAATGTAAATAAGGATTCCAGTTGCTGAAAATCATTCTTGAATTATAAGATAAAAAAAAATTTTTTTTATTGTAAAATAAAAAAAAATAAAAAAATTAGGAAATCTTTTATGAATAAAATATATATGGATACTAGTATCTCTAGAAAAGTTTCAACAAAACTTGACTTTTTTGTGTGTGTATATGGATAAATATGTTGATATGCTGTAAACTGATAAAAAAAAAAAAAAAAAAATACCTTTCTGGACAAGAGATAGGTAGTTTAAATGAAAAACCAACTTTTTTCAGTTTCATCTTTACACTGAAATCACATCAAAATTTTTACAAAACTGAAATCGTTTGTGCTTTTTTTAAATGCTATCACTACTGAGTGACCAAAGAAACACTACTGAAAAAGACTTCGAGATGTTAATAAAATTAAATTTTATCAACATTTATACCATTGTAAGAGAAAAAAGATTGAACAAAATGTTAAAAACATTTAACTAGTTTTAGGAAATAAATGTGAAATCTATTTAAGAAATGAAGAAGAAAAAAAGGAAATATGACAGATATGACATTTGGAAATCATAGAATCTTTTCAAACAGAAAAAAAAGGAAAATATGACATGATGCCTGAAATCTATTTGTTTCAGTTTCTAAAAGAAAAAACTTTTTGTGGTAAAATTAAGTTAACATCAAAATAGCGAGTAAAAAAAAAAAAAAAAAAAAAAAAGTTACTAGTTTTGTCTTAATGTAAAAATTTTATGAAGTCGGAATTTTTGTAAGGGTCGTAATTGTTTTTTTAGTAAGCCAGTACATCGATCACGAAATGAAGTTGTTGTAAACAAGAAAAATGAAGATTTTTTTATAAATAAATTTGTTTTTTATATAGGGAATGCACCTAAATTAGATATTAAGGATAATTAAAATAGTTCTTAATTTCACTTTTAAAATGTGCATATTTCCAGATATGTAGGTATCTAATGTAAAATTGTTTGTTTTCTACAAATAAAATTGTTTCTCTGTAGCAAATACACCTAAAATCAGTTATTAAAAAAATAAAGTAAGTTTTAATCTCTGCTTTAAAATGTGTATATTTTCAAAACTGCAAGTCATTTTTTTTTTAAACCCAAAGTAAAAATTATTCTTTTAGCCATGAGTGTTCGGTGTATGTTGTGCGTATAAAATTCTTCTAAACAAGGAAAATTAATTCATTACAAATATCTTTATGGTTTTATCTAGCGAAATACGCTTAAGATTATATATTGAAATGGTGCATCTAAAAAGAACAGGTGATACTCACAGATTTGGAAATGAAATTCTATAAATGAAATTAGAAGCCTTTAAATTATTTTTAATATTTAATTTTAAGTGTATTCACTAGATAAAAAAAAAAAAAAAATTTATTTAGGGCGGGGGATTACTCATTGATTTCCCTTATTTAGAAGAAATTTATTTGCAAAGCATCAATAACAGTTGACTGGCATACCAGAAAGAGAATTGCTGTATTTTTAAAAGCCACATCATAAACTAATTTCTGGAGAGCTATACCATTCTCTCTCTCAAATGTGTTGTCCAAAGACACAAATATAAATAGTTTATACAATTTCTTTTGTATTTTACCAATTTGTTAATAAATAAACTTTAATCAAAAACAAATGCCAGACAATAGTTTCAATAATTTGAAAGTTTGTTTAGCACACATTTATTATTACTATCAGTTGATCTTTTATTTTATTTATTCTTTACTTCTTGCTTAATTTATAATTATTGAAGGAATTTGCTTCCACGGGTCAGAGAAGAAATGAACATCTTCCTGCTGCTAGTTTAAGGTCTCTTCTAATTGAGTGTACAATTTCAAGAATATTGATAAAGATTGCTTACTTTAATTTTGTGAAACAAAGTAAGATGTAAAATTTAGTCTTAAAAAATAAAAATAACATTTCACATTTTCAGCTGTTTGAAGCTAAATACCATTTTAACTCACTGTAAAAAAAATAATTCAAAGAATATAAATTACATATTTAGATTATTTTATTTCCAGCCATATGAATATTTTTTAAGATTGGACCTGAAATACAAGAAATTGAACAGACTACATTGCAAATTTATCAATTTCAAATGAAGTCAGATATCAACTGGAAATGTATTAGACAAGAAAATGGATGGCTTCCTTAGAAAGCATAAATACTAAATTAAAAACTGCAGTATTAAAGGAAATAAATGGAAACTGATACTGAAACATAAATTGCCAAACCAATCAAATCTATTCTGGACATTGTGAATGGTTCTCCTGCATTTCCTCTCTTAATGGTGACTTGCTGACTGAATTCTCTTATAAAGTCTCTGATATGACTATTTTTGGAATCCCCCACTCCAATATCCAGCTATTACATCAATATCCTATAGGAAGACATGTTGATTTAACTTGTGCAATATCTGACAAGACTTTAGAAATAATTATTTCTGCTCTTTGCTGAAGCCAAAAACTTCATTACAGCCCAGAATGGAGATGCCATATCAAGGACTTGGCCAACATAAAAGTTGCTTGTAACTGAAGGTTTAAATACTCAGAATCACTGAGTGTCTTTTCTTCTTTCCTTTAGGTGGGAATAAATAACTGATTTTCCAGTCAAGTAGTGGCAAAAAAGTAGCTCCCAGCTGAGATTTACTTCCACGGGTGTAGATCTTGATACCAAAGTTAATATTTTAGCACTTTCAAACCAGTTTGTTGTACATCTTTAAGACATCACAGACCACCAGGTTTTAAGATTAAGTTAATGACTGTTTCACAGTAGCTTAATACTCCTTTACCAGTACATGAAGTTGCAGGAGTTATTTGTCTGTTGCATATGTTTCTTTGAAATGCCAAGAACTGATTGCCACAGTTAATTTTGCTTCTAACCAATCTGTAGTCTGGTCATACTTGAGCATATGAGGTTCATGAAGGGTGAAGTGATGCATGTCTTTTTTGCTGTTAATTCCAGACATGTTAAAATAAGAACCTTATTTGAATACAAAATTAAAAAAAAAAAAAAAAAGAAAAAAAAGCTTTATCTGCCAAATAAAGTTTAACTTCAAAAAGGAGACATTTATATTCAAAATGCATTGAAGTTTTTTTTGTAGTGATGCTTTATAAATGACTTAAAAGTTCTATTTAAAAAAAAAAAAAAAATAGCTAAGGCAACTGCAATTCAAACAGAGTTTTGTCCAAAATGGATCATTGAAAGACTTAAACAGTAGCTTGATCACTTGTTTAATACAAATTTTGATGTATTGGATCCAAGCTGTTTTGCATGAAAGTATGCCATCTTTTTAATTCCTGGGCACCTTGAGTTGTTTGAGCAGATATGGAACCAACTGATTAAAGACATTGCTCTACAAGGTGTAATTTTTTTTTTTTTAATATTTCATCATCTAATTTTCAGCTTAGGAATATTTTGATGTGTAAACAAATTGAGCACTAATTTTTTGAAAAACATTAGTATGAATTGTGGGTGGGGGAGCTACCCATCATTGAAATAGTGATAATTTAGATATGAAAAATAAAATCACATGAAAAAGAAAATTAAATTATCAAAATAGCCCCAAAAATAAATGAATTATCAGTTGAAGTGGAAGGAAATTTCACTTTGACACATGATCACATTGTAAACTAGGGTAGTATCTGTCTATATTTCCAAGATGAGGTATTATGTACACCATTTGCATTATTTGGACTATTGTCCTCATCTTTGTCACCATCTTTATTGTTTCGGTCATTGTATGCTCTGGCCTTCTTCAGGCGGTTGGAATATAGAACTAAACCCTTTATTTCACTTGCTGAGGCAGACTGTTCTAGTTCCACACGTCATGTCTAATTGATATTACCTTGCCCACAGTACAACTGATATAGGCAAGGTCGTCATTTGCGATCACATGACTTTTGGCAATGTGTATGTGTGTAACATATATAGGTCTTATTTTTAACCAGTTATATATATATATATATATGAGAGGTGTGTGTGTGTGTGTGTGCTACTGTTAAAACTATCTTTCCTAACACTGACATATTTTTCATGATGGAATTATTCCATCAACAAGAAAATTTTCCTTTTTATATTTAAGATAATCATCAAACTTGGCCAGTTATCTTACATACACAAAATGTTGAAAGGATCTTAGCTTGAAACGCAAAAACCAAACCAAATAGTTTCAAGGATTTCTTGTTAGGTTGTTTTCACCTTTCTCCAAATCTTGGCTTTTATCTGGACTCAAACATCAAACCATGCTTCAGAATTGTTTGGGAATGCACTCTTTGAAAGTAAAGAATTTTCCAGCACCCTACCTGTATAAAAAAGAACCACACACACACACATTATATATATATATATATATATATAAATAAATAAAAGCAGTTTGGCTATAGTGTACACAGCAGAAATACTTCCCACATAATGGTAAAACATTAGCATAGCTAGAAGACACCATTGGCACTAATGTTTTAGCTTTATGAAGGAGGTATATTTTGCCAAACCCTGTACTATACCTAATTAGGAAAACAACCATTTCTATACAAAAAAACAAGTATATTTCTGAACTTCTAAAATTTGCGACACTATTGTGCTCAATAGGAACTTTGCCCCAAAACCTTACCATCCCAGTGTCATATATAGTTGAAAATAATTTCATATATTTTCACATACAATTCCTGTAAACTTAAAAAATCCTGAAAATCAAAATGTAAAATTGTCATCCTTCAAAGTAAGCAATTAATAATAAGTGTCCACATTATTTATTCAACTTTTGTAGTGTACAAATGGTGACTTATTTATCTGAAGCCATATTGTTCAATGACCTTTTGCTGCTTTCTAATTCTCTTAGCAACTACCTCTTTTGCTTTTCGCTCCAGTGCCTGGAAAGAAAAAAAAATTTTTTTTTTTTAAATCATTGAAATTGAAAAACAAAAGTAAAATTATACAAATAACAACCCCACTGACTAAGCTTTAAATTTATAAGTCACCCTACAATTAATTTGGTTATATCTTAAATATGAAACAGCTATGGGAGGGAAAATAAATATTTCCGCCCCAACATTTTTTCTCTAATTGAGGACTAACTGGCTTCAGAAAGTCATAAGTAATAAATTTTAAAAGAATACCTGTTTTATTTTAGCTCTTCCAGCAAACACTGCGGATTTGGCTTTTCGTCTTTCTTCCAATGCAGCAGTGACAGCCTGGTACTTCCAACCCACTTCATGGGCCAGCCTGTTTAAATCACAGAACTAAAAAAAAGAAAAAAAAAACGAGTTACAACAGAATGAAATTAAACTAAACGTCAGTTATTTTATCAAATTTATAATTTACCCAATGTTCAACAGATTTTGGAGGCACGATGGTGCATCACAGATTGAAAGCTGAATTTGAATTCCAAATTCATTACATTCACAAATGTGCTAATACCATTGGGAAAGGTATGAATCCCCAGCCCCCGATGTGGGTGAAAAAAAAAGGGGGGGAGAAAGACTGGGTTCTATAGTATTAGGTGGTGACCAGTCTAAGACTCACCATTTCTACTGCAACTGCAGTGCCTCTATGACTAAGGAGGCATGTTGATACAGATTTTATGTTATAACTAAATGTGTATACAGAAATTAAGCACACACAATTTTGAAGTCAAAACATTCTGTATAGAATGAGAACTTAAAAGCAAATGTCACAATGCATATAAATTTAATAGCTAAAAGGCTGAATTTTTGAACAGATGGCCCATGAAAAATATTGAGTTGTTTCAGTTGGTAGTGCATGTTAATTATTTTTCATTTAGTATCAAGTTGGTAATCATCATCATCAACATCTCAATTTTCTCCAAATGTCCATCTTATAGTTTCAATTTACTCACAAGCCTGCATGAATTTGCTTTCAATTTAAAATCCAAACATAATTAACAAACAAACAAACAAAAAAAAAAAAAAAAAAGTGAAAGTGATTAATTTTGTTATGGCTGTCAGGATTACTATTGTGGATTTTTTTTTTTTTTTTTTAATATGGCAAAGCGTAGTCTGTTTCTGTTTCATAGGTGAAATTAGATGTACATTCATCTTATTTAAGTTATCAACAAGTTCTGGTGATAATGTCCCATTGGCAATTCAAATTTCTGCCTATAAAAATTCCCATTGAAGGTGAAATAACACTGGTTTGTAACAAGAATTCTTTTTATTAAATTTATAACTTGTCCAATGATATATAGATTTTATGCATATAGAGAAAGTAAGCACACATCAGAATTTTAAAGTAAGAATCATTTGTATATAATTTTAAAAGAAAATGTTATAATGAATATAAAATTTAATAGCTGAAAGGTTAAATTTTTCAACAGATGGCCTATGAAAAATATTGAGGTGTTTCAGTTGGTAGTGCATGTTAATTGGTTTTCATTTAGTATCAAGTTGGTAATCATCATCATCATCAACACTTCAATATTTTGCAAATGTCCAGCTGATACTTTCAACTAAGACTGGACAATTAAAAACAAAACAAAGTCAAATTAATATTGGCTACCACTTTGAAAAAAATGGAGTATTTAAATAAAGGTCACATTGGGATGCCTAGCCTATCTGCTTCTTGTTTATATCATTATTATTAGAGCCATTGGGATCTGTAGATTTAAAAATCAGCCATATCTAAGTAATATACAACATTGTGCTACTATTTTCTTTGCAATGATCATATGGACCTGGTTTTAGATTTATTGCAGAGAACAAAGAGGTTAGCACTCTCGATGTATTTCCTTATCAGTGAATCCTGTCCACTTCTGATCAGACTGCCATTTTTAAAAAGTCAATATTGGTCAAATATATTATGGTGAAACACCAATCACCAATACATTTAGATTATTGTTAAGCACATTTTTTATGTCACTATGTCATTGATTTAGAGGTAGTGATTTTGAATTTGATGTTTTTCTTTTTTTTTAAATGATGGCTGATATGGGCTCTCAAATAAAAGCCCATGGTTACTCGAATTTGTTTTTTTTATTTTTGAGGTGTGAGTAAAAGTGTACAAGGTCATTATTTGCTGGTTTTCGATAGACCAGCAGTCGAAATATGATACAGTGTAGTTTGTTTCTGTTGTATAGGTGAAATTAAATTTATGTTCTATCTTGTTTAAGCTATCAACAAATTTTGGTGGTGGTGTGACATGTGGGTATATTAATAGGGCATCATCAATGTAACAAAAATATGTTGCATTTTTGGGGTGGACAGATTCTAAAAATTATAGGAAGAGGCATGTCAATACTTAGTGGTGAAACCATTGGTAATCCAAATTCCTGCCTATAAAAATTTCCTCTGAAGCTGAAACATTGTAATGGTACAATATAGTCATAATTCTGTCTGTTGTTACCGGGATATATATATATATATATATATATATGTGTGTGTATGTGTCTTTGTAAAAATCTTAAGTATTTGGTGACTGGTTAGGTTTATCTATAGGGCATTAATACCTAAGCTAGTTGTGTTTTTATTTGTCATGCCTAAGGGTTTTAAATGCTGGAATTTTTAATGTTTAATGCTAAGGTGATTGCTCTGTGGAGGGAGAGAATTTTTTGCTTATTTGCTGAGTGCACTGTTTATCAAAGGTCACAGTGATATTAACCAAGTTTCGAGAGAGAGGCTATATGAAATTAATGGCAATTTCTATTGAAAAATAAATAAACAAGTAAAAACAAGTTTAAATCAGGAGTTTTCAAGTTCAAATCCTCAAAGCATATTAAACAGAAAACATCAAAGACAAAACCATACAAATTCAGTGGAGTGTGCCTGCAATATCTTAGAATTGAAACACATATAGCCAGTAATTTAGTTGTGCCTAAATGTAAAAAGCTAGGCCAGGAGTCAATTCCAAATTGAATTTTTTTTTTTAAATTATTTTCAAGTTAAAAAAATATTAAGTAGCACCCAGAAGCCATGCCTTGGAAACATTCATTCAACATAACTTGAAAATATTCAAGAATATTTAAGTACCCTGCATCTTACTAATTAAGACTCATTTTAAAGTGTCCATAAATTTACATCAGCTTCTAAAATCTGAACATTTGACAACCAAGATATCAGATATGTCTTTTATATCAAAACATTTCAAACAATGTAGGTAATTAAAAAAAGTCATCATTTACTTGATTGCTTTTGTCACAGATTATGGCTTTTCTTTTTTTTTTTTAAGGCAAGATCAATTTTGTTTTTCTTACAATAAAACTAAATTTTATTTATATTTAATCAAAATAAATTCACATTTATTCAATAAATAAAACAAGTCAATTTTTGTCTTATCACAAAGCTACATGCATTTTACCTAAAATAGGGGGGGGGGGGGCAAATATTTACCAAAATCAGGGAATTAACTTATTTAAATGAAATCTTAAGCACTTATTCATTAATGAATTGTATACCTAATAAGTTAAGATACATTGTGAATACAAAAAGGAGCAAGACTAAAGAAAATTTTTGAAGATCAAAATGAAAGCAATCACCTAACAACTTAACCCCCACTGCTCCTATTTTCTTTGTTTAGTAGAAATTTCATTTAATAAATTTCCTTAAATTAAAAAAGAAAAGAAAAAAAAAAAGGTGCAATCAAGTATTTTATGACATGAAACAGGTTAAGAAAATAAAAAACACTGAATTAAAGTCATCATTTTACTAGTTCCTAATTATTTTTTCATACTTTTAATGTATTTAGATAAGTTTGCAACATTTTTCTCTGCTTAGATTGATTCATTAGCTGATAAGACACTTACCTTTCTACCAGGTTTCAACCTGATGATTCTAAGAGCAGAGGGTACAATCATTCTTTTCCTTGTGTTGTAAGGTGGGGGGATGCCTTCAAATGCCTTTAGTCTACCAAGTGCCTCCTTCCCTCGCTTGTTGTTGTGAGGAAGCATACCTGAAATGAAACAAATCATAATCATCATATAGATTATTTTTTTTCTTCATCATAGCAATACCAGTACCAATATTAAGAACTTGCTAACCAACATGTCAGACAGAGATTAATCTCAAAGTATTTCAAACAATGTAGGTAATATAACATCATTCATTTGGTTACGCAAGTTTAGGATTCGTTAGTGCCAAATAATAAAAAAAATATCAGCCAATTACAAAACAATTTGGAATAATTTTATAAGTTAATATAAGAAAAATTTTAATTTGAGGAAATTTAAATATCAGTAACTTAAAATTATCTAACAATTATTAAAGCTTGTTTAAATATGAAACCAACATTCATTATTAAAAAAATAAAAAATGTAAATGATTTTAATTATAGCCATAATAGCACCTATTGGTGAGATTTCGGCTAAACTGGGAAAATAAGAACCATTTTACTATGGTAATTATGTTTTTTTTTGTTTTTTTTTAATTTATTTATTCTACATCAAAAGCTGAATTATTAGCAAATTAGTAGATATCATCTAGAATGAGAACTATCCTAAAATAAACAATTCTGAAGTGTTTCAGTTGGTAGTGCATGTTAAATGTTTTTCACTGAGCATCAAACTGGTGTTTAATCATCATCAACACTTCAAACCCATGCAGATAATATTTACTTAAAATTGCCTTTCACAGTGAAAGTTTTGATTATAAACAAGTTACATGTCGTCAATGCAAATTCATTTTACAGAAGGCAAAAGTAAATTATGGGAGCTAAACTCCTAAAATAGTGATTTAGAAATTATACAAAATCATGGGGGGGGGGGGGGCGTGTTCAGACTAGAGACCTTTCAGTATCCAAAATTTGGGATAATATAACCTAATACAAAGAACTTAGTCATTTTTATTTACTAAAAATCAAAACTTCATTTACAAAACATTATTCTGGTGAAACACTTTCATAATTTTGAAACAACTGGGTGATTGCTTATAAGATTTAAATCACAATTACCCAATAAATAACACTGGTATTTTTTTCATGTTTAACATGGAATGCAATTTCATCCAAATAGAAATTTGAAAGAAATATTTACAGTTTAAATGTAACCGAAAACCTCAATGTTTGGTTTTGTATAGCAAAAGTGATCTTCATGACACCAATTAAAAAAGAAATTCTTTTGAACTGTACCATTCACTACCTTTACCATTTATATTTTATTTTATTGTGTGGGTTAAGAAAAAGGAATTCTTACCTCTAACAGTCCTGAAGAACATTTTGCTGGGAGCTCTAAAATGGAATGGACCACGAGCAGGATTTACATTACATCTTTTCCTCAAATAATCCAAGTACTTCACTGAAGTCAGAGAGAAGAGAAAAAAAAAAATAAAAATAATCATTCAATTTACATTACATTTGTGTAAAAAAGCAATTTCAAAAATTGAATACATTTTTTTCATATGTTGTTATACAATCCTTCAGTTAGCAAAATGCTATCTAAAACTTAACTTTGTTAGATTAACTATGCATATACACAAAATCCACAGAAAACAGTATTTTTAAAAAGGTAAATAACATTTCCTTAGGATAACTATTTAAAAATAGCAGAGAATTTAAACACTTAACATTTTCATGTTGCTAGAACCACTAGTTATAAGTATTAAAATAAAATGAAAATTCTTAAATGTAAAATTTTAAAACTTGATTGAATTATTTAAATATTTATCTCTGAAATATGGACAACTTCAAAAAAAATTTACCAAAAATTAGGGAAGTATCCAATTTAAATGAAAGGTTCAGCACATATCCATTAATGAATGAATTATATATATATATATATATATATTATCAGTCATTTATGTGCCATACGTGATACACGCTCAGGTGATCATCTATCTTTTAATACATGACTGACAAAAGCAGATTTTCACACCTGCAGTAGGTTGTCATTTGTTTTTGTGGTAGACCAGTTCTCATCCAAGGCTATAGACCCTGGTCTGTCCTGCTATTTACCCATAGCTAGTCATACTTTTCAGAAAGGTATTAGCATGTAAGTGAATGTAATGTATTCAACTGGAATTTGAACTCTGCTCCGATTCCTCAATTTGAGCCACTATCCATTACTACACTGTCCCTCCCTTTTCTTTGATTAGTTTGATACTACACAGTGAATATACAGTGTCATAGCATCTAAGACATATTTCATGAAAAGGCAATTATCTTTCAAATAAAAGTTAAATTTTAGTTAAAAGGTGAAATTTAAAACTGCATTTTTAAGGGTTTTTTTTAAAGCTCAAATTTTGGTGATATTTATCTAACACTCTCACACACTTTCAATGGAATAGATTCAATAATGGTGTAATTGAAAGATTGGGTAAATAGGAAACTTACTTTTGTTTCTGTGAAAGTGTCCAGAAATATTAATTCCTTCACATCTTACCACAACAACACGCTGTCCTGTAAATAAATTGGAGTCAAATAAATCTAATATCAAAAATGTTAACTGAATACTCAAGAAAAAAAATGTTCAGGAGAGCAGATTTAAACAATAATAATAATCAGTATCATAATTTTTTTTTTTTTACAGTCCATATTTTTATCTTTTATCAAGTTTTAGTTTAACTTACCTTGTAAAAGACATTTAGCAACAATTGACGAGAGACGGCCTAGTAAGTGCCCTCGGGCATCAATGAGAATAGGCTGAAATAAAACAAATACAAAAATTTTAATCAATAGTAAAGAAAAAAAGGGGGGGGTGACAAATAGAACTACTGAAGAAAAACTGGTCAGTAATAAGAAATTTTCAATTTTAAGATAAAATGCTTCTCATTTTTTGTTTATTTTAAACCAGCAATAATTTGTTAATGTATTCAATGAATAATGGGAAGACGTGAACCAAAAATGGCACTCTCAGTAAACTGGCCCATTCGTAAAAAAAAAAAAAAAGAAGAAAAAGTGAATTGGGGGGGAGGGAATTGATTAACATTCATTATCCCTTCCTCCAAAAAAGGAAAAAAAAAAACTAAGTTTTTTTTTGTTTTTTTTAAATAAAGGTTGTATTCATAATATCGATAGTGTTAAAAATAAAAACGATCCCTGACTTTTTACAGAGTTATCTGGACCTAGTTATTCTACGTAGGAGAATAAAACTGTTACAAAAAGATTTAAAAAAGAGAACGGATAAATTAAAGTAGGTACCCATTTATTCTTCATTTAAGAAATAATTATCCCAAAGTTTGACAAGGTGCTTTCGTTAAATTCAGAAAAAATATGCAGTTATAAATGATAAATACGGTTTACTAGCCCAATGTTTTAATAATCAGTGACCGATTTTACATTGTATCAATATTATAAAAAAAAAAAAAAAAAAGATTGGAAAAATACTTTATTTTGCCGAATTTGTAAATCTACAAAAATTGTTGGCAGGAAAAAAACAAAAAACTTCCCTACTTTTACGAGTGGACGAGTTAATGCTTAAAGAAAATGAAGATGGGTTGCACAGATAGAACTTGAAAGTTTGATGAGATTCTCCCAACTACAAAAATTCTTGACATTCATTTTGGCAATCGTTGCTCTCAGCTGTGTATATTTTCCCAGAAAATGTATTCAACATTATCTGCCGATTCGCAACTGATAAAAGAAAATGTGAAAAGTTGGCCATTCATCGTCTAGCAATTTAAAAAAGTTAACATCTTTAACGAGATATTTTAATTCTCATCGATATTTGAAATTATTACGTTCAGTTTTTTTTTTTTAAATCAACAAGTTCATTAAAAAAAAAAAAATACTACATTGCAGTTTAGAGATTGAGTAAAAAGAAAAATTCAAGCTTCCCAACAAATTTTATTGCAACATAAAAAGACTACCGCATTAAAATTACATAGTCTTTAATATATTTTAATGTTGTACAATGAAATGTGTAGATAATTTTATGGAAAAAAAAAGTTATTTGGAAATAATCAACGGATCGGACTGACGATCTGTCCTGCATTTCAGAGCCGTTTCTTTTTTGTTTAAAGTTTTTAGTAAAAATTCTTTATATAATTTGTGAAAATTTGTTTGCAGTATATCGCGAACATTTTTAGTTTTTGTTTCATAATATGGCTAAAATATTTTAAGAATTAGCTTATTAAAATTAATGAATATATTAGAAAATAAAATGAATTCCAGTGAAAAGCGTAATCTCAGAATTGTGAAATAATTTAAATTTATGAAATAGAGAGAAAAAAAAATAAATCAAGTACGATCAATTATGTGTACAAGAGAAAAAGTTAAGCTAAATGTACAAATATTTTGAAAAAAATTCTCAAGACAAAAATAATTAATACATTTTCATCACGAAAGGGTCCATTTCGAGTTTTTACACACGTGTTCGTTAAGTAAATCACGTTATCTTAGGTGAATAATTATTGTTTATAGCAAATGCAAAGAAATAAATATAGTGAAAAAAAAAAAAAAATCAACAAAAACCGGTTACATTAAAAAGTAAGCAGATCATGATAAAATGAAGTTAAATCAAAATTTTTCGTATGAATCTCCATGCATCAAATTTTTTAAAATTTGCCACCATGTTGGATAAAACCGGATAGATCACGTTGGAAGAAAGGATAACAAAATAGCATTAAATAATGATAATATACTAAGTAATTGAATCCATAAATCACTAGAACCCTTTCTTATTTTTCATGGTTATTTTTTATTATGAAAATATAAAACGTAAAATAGATTCATTGCAAGTAAATCGAAAAATATAGACGCGAATAAAAAATACCTACCTGCGCCTGAAAACCCATGTTGGCAAAGAGATTGATTTGGGGCCGACACAAAAGAATATCACGGGTAAACCGGAAGTTGATCGCGCCATCTAATTAATCATCAGCGGCTCTATTAGGTACTAACAATCTAGCTAAGGGCAATAACTCACACTGCTTTTTTTTCTTTCTTTCAAAATTATCTCACATTATCCGCCATACTGCTTGTTTTCCGTAAACTGTCTCCGCTAAAAATTTTAAATATTTGTAATTTATTTCATCATTTTTCAAAATGCCGGCAGCCGTCGAAGTAGAAAACCTTCCGGCTGTAGAGCCTACACCACCGCCACCACCACCAGAAGAAAAAACTGAGGATGACAGAGTTTACACAAGGCCTGTAATTGGTATTATTTACCCACCACCTGAAGTGAGGAACATTGTTGACAAAACAGCTAGTTTTGTGGCACGCAACGGGCCCGAGTTTGAGAGTCGAATTCGACAAAACGAGGTAAATAATCCCAAATTTAATTTCTTGAACCCCGCTGATCCTTATCATGCATACTACCAGCACAAAGTTAAAGAATTTAAAGAGGGTAAAGGCCAAGAACCTACGGTTGCTAAACCCTCACCAGCATCCATGGCCATTAAACCCGTGTCTGAACCCATTAAAACAATTGAACCGATTGTTCCAAAAGATCCCCCACCCGAATTTGAATTTACTGCTGATCCACCCTCGATCTCGGCTTTCGATCTTGATGTCGTAAAGCTAACCGCGCAGTTTGTAGCCAGGAACGGACGTCAGTTTTTAACGAATCTCATGAACAGAGAACAGCGAAATTACCAATTTGATTTTTTACGACCACAGCACAGTTTGTTCAATTATTTCACTAAATTGGTTGAGCAGTACACAAAAATTTTAATCCCGCCAAAAGACCTGATCAATAAGCTGAAGAAGGAATCGCAGAGTATCAAACATACTTTGGATCAAGTTAAGTACCGTGTAGAATGGGCCAAATTCCAGGAACGAGAAAGACGCAAAGAAGAAGATGCCCTAGAGAAAGAGCGTATTGCTTATGCCCAGATTGACTGGCATGATTTTGTTGTAGTTGAAACTGTGGATTTTCAGTCGAGTGAGATGGGCAATCTCCCCTCACCAACCACACCTGAAGAAGTTGGAGCACGTGTTATCCAACAGGAGCGTTATGATAAAGGTGAGAACACTGCGGATGTTGCCATGGAAGTAGAGTCGGATGACGAAGACAGTGAGGACATAGTTATTGAGAAGGGCAAACCGCAGAAGGATATGCTACATCATGGCGATAAAAACAAGTTGGCACCTCCTGCGCCACCGCCATCACTGCCGTTGCCACCTCAAGTTCACCCAGCTCCTCCATCAGATAACAACCAAGTTCTGGACATGGAAGAAGCATCGGATGATGAAAGTGATGAAGATGATAAACTGGAAAAGATAAAACCGCCTCAGCCTCCTCCACCACCACCCAGTGAGATACCCCAACCACCACCACCACTGCCACCAACCCCAGATCAAGTCATTGTACGCAAAGATTACAATCCAAAAGCTCGGACCATTTCAGCTGAACCCAACCCTGATTCCTTCATGGTATCACCAATCACAGGGGAGAAAATCCCCACGCACAAGGTGCCTGAGCATATGCGAATTGGTTTGCTTGACCGCAAGTGGATTGAGGAACGTAACCGCACAATTGCTGAAAAACGGGAACAAGAAGAAGTTTATGCACCAGGTTCTGCTATTGGCAGCAGTTTGAGACAGCTGGCCGAACGACGTACAGATATTTTCGGTATTGGTGCTGAGGAAACCCAGATTGGTAAGAAGATTGGCGAGGAAGAGAAGAAGGAGAAGAAAGTGGTGTGGGATGGTCACACTGCATCTATGGAGAAGGTCACCCAGAAAGCTCGTGAGAACATCACCATTGAAGAACAAATTGCTGTTATTCACAAGGTTAAAGGTTTGCTACCTGATGAAGAAAAAGAAAAGATTGGTCCAGCTATGCCCAAGCCTACAGTTCCTAAGACAACACAACCAATTCCACCTCTGCCACCAGCCACTTTACAACCAAGTATGATGAAAGTGCAACCACCTCCACCTCCCCCAGTGCAGCAGAGCCGGCCCCCTAGCATGCCACCTATGCCCCGCCCACCCATGCCACAAAATATGGTTCTCCTTCCGCCCCGTCCACCACCAACAGCTATCGGAAATGTGCTTGGAATCACATCACAGCGAGCCCCTCAGCCGCCAACACAACCACCGGTGCCAGTACCACGGAGCCAACCTCAGGACTATGGTGTGCCACCTCCTCCGCAAGAAGAAGAGCCACAACCACCCCCTACAAAGCGCCAAAAAACAGAAGACTCCCTCATTCCAGAGGAAGAGTATCTGCGCTCGCATAAGAATCCCATTTTGGTTAAAGTTATGGTTCCAAATGTTCCAGACAAATCAGAATGGAATCTCAATGGACAGGTGCTCAACTTCACATTGCCACTTACAGATTCTGTATCTGTGATCAAGGCTAAGTTGAATGAAGCACTCAACATGCCAGCAGGAAAACAGAAATTGCAGTATGAGGGCATTTTTGTGAAAGATTCCAACACACTGGCTTATTACAACTTACCTCATGGGGCTGTCATCAACCTGCAACTCAAAGAGAGGGGTGGCCGAAAGAAATAAGGAAATCTTTATCAGATTGTACAGGTCATTGGATTCCTTTTCTTGCCAAGTCCTGGGAACTTATAGAATTTGTGACATATGGAACTCTTGCCCCCCCCCCCATTTTTTTTTTTTTGTAAACACCATGTAACTTGCAATTTCTGTACATGACACTTGAGCATGTGTTCCTTGTTGATTGCATCTGTTAAAAAAAGGGGGGGGTTCTTTTTGCAAGGGGATGCAATTAAATAAGCAATTTTATACATCTTTCCATATGCTCTTTCAATCAGTTCTTGAAACATTCTTTTAAGCTCGAAGTGAAACATCATTGCCAGGAATCAGATCAACAAAAATAAATTGCTGCTTGTAATGAAGGAATTTGTATCAACAATTTTTCAGCATTACCTGAAATTCATTATTTTCTGTTTTTTTCATTTTGGATAACTTAACATTTCATTCTATATGACTTTCAGTATAGAATTCAGTCATTTGATAAAAATCTACAAAAGCAGGCTACATCAAATCCTAAACAGAACAAATTTAAAGATGAGCACTTAACAAACTTGCAATTTAATTTCAGTATTTAAAAAAAAGATAAAACATTCAAACAATAATACACACACATTTGTCATTTCTAAATCAACATAGAATTTGTTTTTTAATTGTAAAAGAAAAAGCCATTTAAAAATAATGCAAGTTATTTGAAAAGTTGGTAACAGAATTATTTCAGATGAAATTCAATGCTACACTATTTTAAAACTCCATAGGTGCAAGTTTGTATCTCAGTGATTTTGTTTTACTTTTGTTTCTTGGATTTTTAATAATTTCTATTTTGACTTTGTAAAAAGAAAAGCATACTTTAACTTTGCAATTCCCAAAGTAAGAACTTGAGTTGTAGGCAAGTCTTTGATTTATTTCAGGTTCAAATATCACGGTCTGATGTATGATAATATAAAGAAAAATTATTTTATTTATTGTTTTTGCTTTTTCATTTGTTCTTTTCCTTAATTACTGAAATTGAATTATTAGATAAGTTCGGGAATGTATGACTTTTTTTTTATCATTACTTGTTTCATAATAGTAATAATAATGTTTTTTTAATTTATAGCCAACAAAAATGGAGGATAATTATTTTGGTGCATTTTCATTGTGATCTTGGCTAAATAAATTTTGACTAGCAAAATAAGTTTAAAAATAATGCAATTATTTTTTTATACTATAAAGAAAATATATTTGTGAATAAGTTTATCACAAGTTAGCTTAAAAAAGAGCAAGGAAATTTACTGATTTATTTCGATTTCTTTATAGCAATTTTTGTATTTGAATGGTAGGAAATCTGATGCTTGCATGAATTCATATAATTTGTTGATATTGTATGGAATATAACAATGTGTAAATTGCTATGCCATTGGAAAAATAATTTAGGAAGCAACATTTTTATGAAAATTTGACTACTGAGTAAGAAAGAAACAGCTACATAACGTATAAAATTTCATTTTGTGTTTTTTTTGCTAATGACAAACAAAGAATGAAAAAATTCTGATCTGTCATTGTTATTTCTATATTTTAAGCAAAATTGGAGATATTTGTATTTTATGTCCTCATAGAATATTGCTGTTGGAGGTTGTAAAAAAAAACCCAGAGATTTTTAAGTTTTCAAAAAATATCTATATATAAGGCAAAATCTTTTAGACAATTTCTAATTTGATGATTTTCAATTGTGTTTACACTTTTTAAAGGAAAGTCCTTGAAAAATAAATATTGTAAAAGTGAAAAATCAGAACACAGGAATTGCATATTTGGATGCCTTAGTTTGAAATTTAAAAAAGAAAAAAAATGGCCCATTTTTAACATCTTTTTTTTTTTTTCAAAATTTATATTAGACACTTCAACATGATGTAAAATGTTTAGCAAGCTTGTCTTGCTAGATCAATTACGATGGAGTAGTGAGTTCGATCCTCACTGGATTCTCTATACATGCAGCCTTGTGTCACATCTATGCTATGCTTAGAAAATCACTATATTTGGTTATTGTCTGTAATTAAAAAAAAAATCAGATGTTTTTTTTTTTGTAATTGTCTCTAATATCAGTTTCATAATTTGATATTTTTTAGTCTTATTCTTTCAAAAGGTGTACCACTCTGAGATTTTGTTTTTAAAATATTGATGTTCTTTAATAAATATGCAAAGATATTAGGAAAATATTCTTTCCAACTATTCTTAAAATAATTTTTATAAATATTATGCAACCATTGATTGGATATTATTATTATTAACTGTAGATGCACAGACTCGTAATCATTCTGCAATGCCAATTGAAAGAATAATTATATTTTTCTACATTACTTTAAAAAAATTTGTGCAAGGATTAACCAATATATTATGAGGTAGGGACATATGTCATACATGGAATTTTGGTAATTGCAATGTGCATTTTAAGGAACAAACCTTAAATTTTGCTAATAATAATTTTAAGATGCTTTATTTTACAAAAGCTGATAACTACACAATTTTAAAATATGACCTAGGTGTAACTGATTTCATTTATTTTTTAGCTTAAACTAATTTAGTAGATAATGCATTGATGTCTCATGTTTGCATGCAAACAATTGAAATGCTTTGCACTTGTCTTCCATGTAAAACTCTTTCTGATTGCTCCAATAATTCACTTGTCTGTAGACTATAAGATTTTTTCTATTTTGAAAATAAAATAGTTCGCTGTTTTAAAATATCATAATAATCATTTTCACCAAAAATATTTTATTACTTGAGACCAAAAATAGTTTTTCTTAGATTCTTTATAATCAACATTTCATGTGACAGAATGTGTTCCAGAATTGACTTTTATAAAGTAAGGATTATTTTTAAAATATAAAAAATAAACTCTTGATGCCCAACAACAACAGCAGTAAAAAAGACTTATGGAAAAATAATTAGTTTACATAAAATAAAATATTAATTTTTATTACAGGCCACCATACTTAGAAATGGAAGCAATTTAGTTAAGCTATTAATATGAATTAAGAATAACTTGTCAGTTTGTAAGATAAACATCAATTGACCAACCCAATTTGACCTTTAACTCAAACCGACTGATGCAAGACACCCATGTTATAAAAATAAAATTTGAAAGTTTTGTTGCTGTAGTTAAATCAAATAAAGATTAAAATAATTATTTCCCATTAAATTGTCTTCATGTTATAAATAGATTTTGTTTTATTTACAATATTGAGTTTTCTGTTAATCATAGCATCTATTACTGACTTTTACTGATTCAAGGGAAAATTTTAATTTTCTAGCTGTTTAATTCAATCTTAACTATCGTATTTGACAATACATAAGAGCACTTTTTTTCTTTCTTTTTTTTTACTAAAAATATTTTTTTTAAATTTCTCTGCATCTTATATGGTATATGTAGGTTAAAATTTGTGATAGTTATCCGAAATTAGCTACCTGGCAGCTCCTATTAGCTTAGACTTTAGAGTAACTTTCACATACCTATTGATATTATTTAAAAGGCTATTATGCAGATTAAAAGTGTTAGCATTGATAATATTCATTATATTAATATCATCACATTTAATATTAGTACTTTGTTTCACTAAAATTGTATGCAATACAAATTATATATTTGTAAAATATATTAGTTTCATTAATATTTTTCTTGCAATAACTTATGGTTGCATTGGTATAAATACAATCAGAATTTTTATATCCTAATTATTCCACTAAAATGTTTACAAGATGCAGGTTGTACAGATCATGTAAAGGAAAATTTTTGATTGAATTTCACTCCTTCAGATATGACAACAGCAAGAAAGGTTAAGCTTGCTGTGTACAAGCTTCATGTAATAAACTGTGCTAAAGAGCATGGAAATAGAGCAGCAGCAAAATATTTTAGCCCTCTGCCTGCAGAAAAAGTGATACATTACTTGCAGTTGCAGGAAAATAACCTATGGGCAGTGAAGAAAGGAAACTGTAACCACCACCACCACCCAGCCCCATATTAGCCTGAAATTGAAGAGGAAATTAAAACGTGGGTTGTAGATGAGAGGAGTACAGGCAGAATTGTTATTACAAAAATGATAAGGAATGAAGTTAGAAGATTAGTAAATGAAAAAGGGATTCAAAACTTTATAGGAACAGAAGGATGGTGTTAGCAAGGTTTGTCAATGCATACAAAAACATCAGTTGTGCAGAGAATGCCGGCTGACTATGATGAAAAATAGTAAAGTTTCATAAATTTGTTATACATGCTCCAAAAAGAACTTTTGAACTAGGCCAGATAGGATGAAGTCCCACTAACGTTTGATGTTCTATCAAACAAAACTGAATATTAAGGGATCTAAGACAATTACAATAAAACCACAAACCATGAGAAGGCCCATTATAAGGTCATTCTTGCATGTCGCGTTGATGTTGCAAAACTGCCTCCTTTTCTGATTTTAAGAGAAAAACTATTCCGAAAGATAAAATACCAAAAGGTGTGCATGTTCATCTGAAAGGCTGGATGGACAAAGCTGGTCTAAAGTTATGGCTAGGGAAAGACGTTGGTGGAGGATTACGAAAGCCCTCTCTTCTGGTTTGGGATCAGTTCCAAGTACATAGGACTGAATCTATTAAAAAGAAAGTGTCAGAAGTGAAGACAGAGATAGTGGTTATTCCTGGTGGACTAATGTATCAGTTGAAACCTCTGAATGTGTCTGAATAGACCATTCAAGCAAAACATGAAGGATCAATGGAATGACTGATCACAACCTTATACTTACAGGAAGAATAAAAAGACCCAGCATTGCATGAGTCTGCGAATGGGTGAAGCAAGCTTGGGATAATATTAGACCAGAAACTGTTGTGAAATCTTTTAAAAAGTGTGGCATTAACAATGCTCTCAATGAAACGGAAGATCATACATTATTTAACAATGATGATAGTATTGAAAATCAGTATCAGAGTTTTGATAATAAAGATGACGAATTTTATGGATTTGAAGATTAATAAAATTTTAATGGTAACTGTACTGT